AAGAAATTATTGTTTATAGATTTAATTTCTCAAGGGTTTACATTGACTTTCAATTATTTTAAGACTGATATTCTAAAAATGATAATTTGCTTTGAATCCAAATTTACAAAAATCTGCACAGTTCTACTTTTTAATATCTTTAAATCTTTAAAGTTTAGAACTCTACCTTAAAGTGATCATCAAATACTATAGATACCAAACTTATTTTTGTGTAAATAACAGATGATATCGTTAATCTTCCAAGTCATTCTTTATGAATGATATGTTGAAAATATGCAGAGAGATCTTATATAGGGTCTATGAAGCTATATATTCAATGTAATTTATGGACTCAGAAAAACAATTAATTTTATTAACTCTTTAGCAAATCTGAAAAACTATTTAACTTAGCGAAATTTATTGCCAATATCACTTCAGTTCGACTATGAAACAGATAAATAGTACTTTTGCATATGTGAACATAATTCCATTGGATTTTTTTAAAAAAACATTTAAACAAAGTTAAGGATTCTATTATAGAACAATTAATTTGACTAATTGAAAGATTTAGTCATCACCAGAAAGTGATAGAAATAAATTGATTTGGATATGTTGACTCAGACATTTCACCTTTTATTCTAACTGATCAAATAAAACCTTTCTCTAGATTAATGCAGAACGAGTTTCTTGATTAAAATTGAATTAACTAGACAACAGCTTGTATCGTTATTATTAATAATGATAATTAAGTTTGACACATACAAAAATTTATCGCTCTCACGATTATAAAATCGTTGATAGACAATAAAACGCTCGAACGATTAATCGCACACGCGATTTTATCGACTGACTTAAAATTTCAATTATGAATTCCGTTTTGAGTTAATTGGCTTTTACTGTTCGGAAAGCATTAATATTTTAATTTATTCGGAAGTTTATAAATTCAAATATCTATTCAAAATAGTGTATAAATAAAATTAAAATAAAAAAGATGAATAATAAATAATAATTACACGGCATTAATATATTTAGTCATAAAATATTGTATATATATTAAGGCAAAATACAGTTTTATTTTCAGCAGTTGGGTTATTATAATTTTATAACATAAATTGATTTATATAATTGCTACTCAATTAACTTTTGAATTTATATTTACGTTGTTTTTTTTTTTATTAATCTTAAAGAACTTTATGGGTCAGTTGAATCATAAATAATGCTGGGAGAACCTGTTCTATGATTTTTTATTTTGCATATCTAAGCCATACTTCAAGCCAACTTTAAATAAAGTAATTCAATAAAAAAAGCAATGCTTGACTTAAAGAAATTTTATGTATTTTCATAATAATAGAAGTAGTATCTATTCATAAAATAAAATTACATTAGGTTTATATTTATAAATAAATAGAAGGCAGATTCCAACGTGAGTAGACACTCCATCATTGTCTGTCTAAATCAAAACGTTGAAATTTGTTAAAGTTATAGTATGTTTACACTCTCGCAATTAGCTTGATAAATGTGCAGCGGTAATTTTTATACAAAATGCATACAAAAATATTGTAATGATGTTCAATAATTGTAAGTGGCAACATAGTAATTGTCCTTAAAACTTTTCTATAAAAACTTTTGTAACTTGTAATTCTAGTCTATCAGAACTTCCGTTTGAAGTAAGTTTACGTCAGAGTGCTGGAGTTACACGAATTCCAACAATAATGACAACTGTCAATTTAATGACTATTTATCTATTATAAATTTATTTCTTCTATATACAATCTTTTGTAGATTGTTGTACTTAGAGCTCGCCTAAGATTCACAGCTTAGAGCTCACCTCCTAGGTTTCGATATATTAAGGAGCTCAAGGTTGATTTCCCTAATATTGCATATGTATATGTGAAGAAAATTTCATTTGTTTTCAAATTATATACGACTATTACAAATTTTCTGTACCATAATAATGATATTCACTGGATTGACATTCATTTTTAATCTTCCGTTGCATAGTTCCTAAAGTAATTCTGTAAATTTTTATCCCGTCAAAATGACTATTGTTGTAGTCTCATTTTAAACATTCGAAGATACACACACCTATTTCCTAACAGATATCTAAGAAAATTAACTATTAGAATAATTTATTATTGAACATAATAAAAAAGAATCGAATGAAATATAGTACATTATAACCATAAACACCTTTTTTAAAAATAAATAGTTATAATGGATCCTCCCAAAGGCGCAAAAGCAATATATATCCAACAAAATTTTTTAAATAACGCGTGCAATATACATATATTGTATATATCTCAATTTTTTTCGAAAATAATAAAGAAGAAAGACATGTATATAGGTTCAACTAGCTATTGATATTGCGAAATCAAGAACCCAGTACAAATGATATAGTGCAATATATTAATAAATTGTTGAATGCAAAATTCAAAATTTTGTGTTTAACTGAACACATAACTGTTCAGTTGATCTTGTAGGATTTAAAGATTAATGGAGATCTTCCCGCTAGTCTCCAGTGTTCATTTTTCAGAAGGACTACTTCATTCTTCACACAAGTAACTCATTACACAAACTAAATGGATATTTCTTTTATACGGATAGAGTGACTGATGCCATCCAGCACTTCCGACCCCCGATCAAATTCAATTTTATTTGCATGTCTAAAGGTTACGCTAGTAGCACTCTCAATAACTACACGCGTAACCTGCCTTGTATAATAATATAAACACAATTAAATAAATACTTATTGACATATTTATAATATTTTATTATTTGTTATAGTGATATTTTTGTTTTTTATTTCCACCAATAAGTTAAGTGAAAAAAGTTGTAATTAATGTGCTCGTTTCATGGTTCAACAACTCGAAATAGTGCCCAAAACATGACTTCACTAAATGCCTTATCGTCAAGCCCACTTAAGAGCATTCAAACTTCATGCAGAGAAAATGTTTTTTTTCTTTCAAGTTATTGTATTAAGCAGTAATTATGATACCAGTGACTTATTATTAAATTTTCATATAAAAAACGCTGGCCATAAGTTCAGTTGCTCACCTTGGTTTCAATAGCAAATCCAACAAACTACCGGTACTTACGTGTGTCCAACACTTCTTACGTCTGCTTACAAATAAAACTACTCATGAACTTTGAAATTGTATAAATCTCCAGAAACAGATCCATTTATAACGCTCATAAATATATATATGTATATGTATGAGAATAACATATACCATACTCCTCTGTTCTTAAGCTTGTATCGAAATTCGACTAAGTCAACAATTTTTCCGCTCAATTTTCATATTATGATGACTAGTCTGCGTCTGCATTTGTCTGTCTGTCCACACAATTTTTGCTGTCTAGTATTGCGACCGCTTTTGCATATGTGCACATTTATTCAAAATTATTTATTATTGTAATGTACATGCGTATATATATATTCATATATATGTTAATATATATGTTAATATATATATTAACTGCAAATTCATGCTGATAACTGCGAAACCGCATACATATGGCCAATAGTCAAAGCTTATAGCTTCGTCCAAGCCAAGGTAAAGCCACCTACAACAGCACCAGAGTAATTGTGACAACTGCTAATTAAAATTATTATATAAATTAATTACCATTGTAAATTCTTGAATTGTATAAATTACACCAATTATTAATTTACGTGTTATTATAAGACCAAAAACCTGATCAACACATTTTTACATGGATTTTGTATGGATTATATTTGAAAAATGACATTAGGTCTGTTCCACGAGTTACTCGTAGTAAAACTGAAGTAAAACACAAATAAAATTTACACGAAATTACACGAACATTTTGTTGGTGGAACCCGCTTATTGGTCGAGTTAATATCGTCAGTGTAAACGTATTGTCTCTATAAAGATTTAATTAAGTGTTGATTTGAAACACCTGTTGACGCAGTTCTACATTTCTTTCCTCTAAGTTGACTGTCGTGAAGACAATTCGCGGACACATGAGCTCGTCAAACAGAATGTATCTCAAACATATTCCGCACATCTGCAAGAACCTGATATACACTAGCATTATGCAACTAGTTATTAAAATCTATATATATTAACAATTTAATAGAAGATAGATAGACGGAATAATATAAACATCTATATGCAATTTAACACTCTTAAATAGCAAAAAATCTAGTAAACTTATTTAGACAAAGCTATCAGGCACACAATTATATTTGCAACAGGATTACTGACGATTAGAAAACTGTGTTGGGATATGGAATCTTAGCTTTAATGATTTTTGCTGTAACTGTGAGGAAGAAAAGCAAGTGCTTGAAATCTGCTGTATGCGTGCACTATAAATATTGAAGTATTTCTTGTTAAATGTCATCTAAGATTTTAAGTAGTTTCAAATGATTTAAAACCCTTCGAGTTTTTACATAATAATATAAGAGTCCAATAGATCTAAGTGGACTTCTAGAATAA